CAGCAACGACAACAGCAGCAACGACAACAACAGCAGCAACAGAAACAACAACAACAGCAACAACAACAGCGACGACAACAGCAGCAACAGCAACTACATGCCAATAGATTATTTTGTATTTTATGTGGTATTTACCAATATAACCAATATAAATACTACAGTACTGCTAATCACGACAACTAGAATAAAGAAACAGCGGTTTATTTACGTTCCTTGTGTTTACTTTCAGGTTCATTCGCCCCCATTGGGATGGCCAGGTGACATCCTTGATCTCGATTTCAAGTCCGTTTCCATGGTAGACAGCATACGTCATTCAGTTGGTGTAATCTTACCTCCAGAACCAATGGATACGACTCGTGCAGAAACAGCATCTGAAGGTAGGGTAGCAAGATGAGTGGCATAGACGTAAAACGTTCTTATTTCGCAAACTGATCGTTGGGTCGATTTCTAAGGGCGCCTCTTGTAAGTAAAGCTTGTTTCATATATAGTGGTTTTTGGTACAAGTGGGAAACTTGCCGTACTTTACGTATTTAGAGCACGCACACGTTACGACATGCTGTAACACTAAAATGGCTTCCCTTTGTCTTCCAGTAATTCATCCAATCACAACGTTTAGTTACGGTTACGGAAAGGCGAGGTACCGTACACTACGGCCACCACTTTACCAAATTGTTTTCCACTCATACGAAAGCTGTCCTATTCTCTTTTTGCCTCTATTTTTTCCTTTGATTTCTCCAAGTTATTATTGAGTTATAACCGAGTCTTGCTCTCTGGAAGGTTTCCTTTGAATTTTTACTTTACGCGATTATTTCCAGGCTCCACCAGTGTCCCAAGTCAAGTTCCTGGTACCTCTTCCAGTAGCCGACCTTTAAGCCAATTTCTGGACGACACTCCAGCATTTCGCACTCTTGTACAGGAATTTATGGCCATCACTGAAGCCCCAGAAAGTAGGTTTTAAAATGGCAAAAAAAACAATGCTGAGTTGACCTTGATAGGAAAGCCATATCCCTTACCCCTTGTTACGTCTTGGTGACACTTCTTGAGTATTTTTCTTCAACTTTTGGTGTGATGCTTTATTCATTTCAGACCACGAGTTATTCCCTTGTGTGTTATTCCTTTTATTTTGGGTATAATATTTTCCCATTTCAGACCACCTGTCATTCCCTTTAGTACTATTCTTTTACTTTCAACTATTCTTTTGAAAATGATATTCTTTATTCGCAACCGTTAAACAAAGAAAGGATACTCTAGGGAATGACATGTGGTGTTAACTGGGAAAACATTATACTCAAGGTAAAAAAGTCTGTTATATGACAAAAGAATTAACCCATAATTCCTTGCGATATTGGAAGTCATCTCACCTGTTTTGAACAAATGTCATCCCAAAAACGTCTTGTAATTACTAAGTATTGCACGTCGTTTCTATCCTTGCAGGTGTTGCTCGATCTCTTCTGATCACGTGTGGAGGGAACCTGGAACTAGCCATTAATATGCACCTCAACATGGAAGACACACTTCCGGTCCTCCCTGATAATAGTTCCCAGTCCTCTTCAACCGAACGGCCAGTTCATGAAGAGTCGGCAGGATCAAAAGAGGAAGTCCAGCCCAAGGCCTTGAATGAGAGTATATTGAGTATATTATGGAAGATTAAAACGTCTTTCGCAAGTTCTTCATCCAGGTTTGTTACAATTTTGTTACAATTTTTTACTTTCTGTGGAAAGGACTGAATATTGTCTAATAAAAAGAGGATTATTATGTGATGACTGCCATGAAGACGCATCTTTTGTATGACAGGGGTAATAGAATCATTTTACCCGATAGCGAGTAAATTGGCCATTTGCACTCCTATTTCACATGATTATTATCCCATTGAATGAAGCAGTGGTCTTGAAATCAACACTGAGGCCCCGTCCACACGTATCCGGAAATTTTTGTATCCGCAATTTTTTTTTTTTTGCCGATACGGGTTGCGTCCACACGTGTCCGGAAATATTTTTATCCGTATCCGGAAATTTTCGAAAACGGTCTCCAGAGTGGAAATTTGTGAATACGCTCCGAATACGTATACGTGTGGACGGTCGTACCCGCAAATTTTCGAATACGCTGATACGATTTTGCGCATGCTCAATAAGAAAAACTATCCGTCAAAGGGACTAGGCACTGGCGTGCATCAGGGCGGATCAAGAAATTTCCGGATACATGTGGACAGTGAAAACGATTCGAAAACGATTCGAATACGCTGCGTGTGGACGCGAACATTTTCGTAACCGCAAAAAACAAAACAAAAAAATCCCGGATACAAACATTTCCGGATACGTGTGGACGGGGCCTGAGTGCACAATATTCCATTTCACAGTTCATGTCGAGGCTGGAGTTTCCGCGCATAGCAAAACTAAAATTTATCATGCGCGGCAACTCTAGCTTCGGCTTGGGACTGTAAAATGGAGTATTGGAAAGTTTCGAAGTTCATTCTAAATGAAGTCATGGTCTTTATCCATAGTTCTTCGAGTGTCGGTGATGGTTCATACTATATCAACAAGCTCATCGAGCAGGCACGAACAAGCACTCCAGGAAATGCTGCTGTTGTTGCTTCTCTAACCTCTGCTGTTAGTAAAGACGTTGAAGAAGAAAAGAGTGCTGGTGATGACTTAGACGAAGCAGCCAGGACGGCTCTCAGGTAGGAATTATTTTTATTTCATTAACTTTTCTCGCGAGGGCAGGGACACTACTGCTAGGAGCAGGCGTTGCTCAGTTGGTTAGCACGGTCTTCAGAGCTAGACGTCCACAGCTCAATCCTCATGATCTGCACGTCTGTTTCAACTTCTCTCTGTCCTGTGTAGCTTTAGCTTTAAATAACCGTAATAAGGAGCACTGATAATCTGAGGGAGTAAAGTGCGCAGCTTCAAGCGCTTTATGCATGAGCCCCCCGCTCGGAGAAATTGGGCAACCACTGCCTTTGTCAATTACTGTGGGCCTTCTTCAGTACGAGCGTCTTCAGTTGATCTTTTACGTTCGCCTTATAGACCATATGAAAAAGGAGTTATAGATAGAACTAGCACCACGAACAATTAATTGTTCCAAAGATAGATTTTCATTACAAGAAAAACCATGTCTAAATTAGTAATTTCGGAAAGTTCTGTTGTCATATATTAAATCCCTGAAGAGTTATAAGCTTTTGAAATGTAACGAAAACATGATAGCGAAGCTGGTAGGTCCTTGGTTGTTGTTTCCATACAAACCTTTCTAATTTCCAACAGCAGTAGCTTTTTATCATTTAATGTTACTACATTGAAATTTTGGAAGTTGTTGTCTTCTATAACTGATGAACTAAGGTATCTCAAGTGACACGCCCTTTTTCATATGGTCTATAAAGGGCTATGTAGTTAAGACAGGGCCTACGATTTTAAGTCCTTATCAGAGAAGACTTGAAGTTGTAACTATTTGCGGATTTAATTGCAAAGTATAGATGGCGGTTTTTCTTTTGTCTAATTTGATAGCCCAATTTTTGTGTACCAGCTTTGAATACTTAAATGTATTTCACTTTCTCGTTAGACGAAAGCAAGCACGGGAGCGACAACAAAAACTCTTGGCCGAGTTCGCTTCCAAGCAAAAGTCATTCATGGAGCAAGCATTGAAGAGGGATCCTGGTGAGTAAGAAGAAATACGCCTGTTATATAACGTGATCTATTCATTCTACCATTTATGGGTGAGTGCATAGATCTGTCCGCCCTTTCCTCCTTCACGCACCCATCACTCACATCTTAACTTCAACCTTCACCTATCCGTCTGTCTGTTCACGTCCATCCGTCCGTCAAGCAATCCATCCATCCCACCTTTCTCCTTCCCGTGCGCGCGTCCATTTATYCTTCCATCTGCCCGTCTGAAGTGTCCGTCAGTGTGCCCTCGGCTTGGTTGTTAGGTTTACTTGTTTGTTTTACGGTATTAACAAATGCACGAATGTCTTTAAATCTTAGACGCCCTAGATGACGTTAGCATGGATGTCGATGCGCCTCCCGATACATCTGAAACTAACAATGACAAGACATACGAGTGTGTGATCTGTGGTGAAGCATCTCCTTCGACAGAAGAGCGACCAGTGGGACTCGTTACACTGCTTCAGCCCAGTGCAGGTACGCTATAGTGGAATAAAGGGCATTAGGAGCGCTTATCTCCCATAAGATGTCTTCCATTCCATTCCCTTTCTTCCATCCCTTTTCCTTCCAATGTTATTCCCAATCGCTCGTTTTCTTACTTTCCATTCCTCTCCTTTCTTTTTCTCTTTCTATCCTCATGAAGGAAGCTCGTTTACAAGAGCATTCATCTCTCATACTGCGGCTTTTCTTTTCAATCTCTTTCTCTCTTTTCCTTATCATTCATTTCCCTCCAGGGCTCAAACGTAACCTTTTTGTCCACTAGCAAACAACTTAATAATAAAAATTGGTCAGATCCTTGAATACCTTGCTTGCAAATGTTTCCTAGTAGATTTTGCAAAGTCATTTGCAAACCGCAAGGCGTTTTTAACACATTTGTAACATTTGAAAATTGACTTTTACTGCTAGCGATTAATTTAACAGGACTCCCTTTAAACCAGCATTAGCTGAATGGGACAACCCTGTCTAGAAAATGGAATAGACTAAACTAAACTAAAAAATTGCAAGCATTTGTGTGGTTATTCTAATGGATATTTCCTTTGCTTTCGTGTTCTACTTAGTTCTCAAGCATCGATCGTTGAGAAAACAGAATACTTCTGCGTCCAATGAGCCTTTTCAAGCAACGAATTGCGGTGGTTTCGTAAAGACGAGATTCAATGCCCTAATAAAGCTGTTTCCCAAGGTATCTTTAATGTGTATTCAGAGGAAATTTTTTACAATAACATGCAATAATGGCAAAAAGCTCCAAAAACTAGACTTTTGTATGAATTTTGATCCCAATTTTCGTTTTGGGTTAACACTCAAAGCCTTTTTTAAACAGTTAGAAACTGATGTACTATGATAAAATGCCTGTTTGAAGCGGTATTTTCAAATGTACAAAGATGTTTTGCTGCATTTGTGTTAGAATTTTGCTTTGTCAGGCTTTTTATAGAAAATATATGGGAAATAAGCAAATGAAGGCCTAAACCTCATTTTCGAATAACATTTTTGGTTGAGTTAACACTTTGATTCCACTTTCATCGGTCATCTCCACTTCCAAACAAGTTAAACTTTCTGAATAACAAGATTTTAACCTTGTACAACAGCTTTTCTTCAAGAAAATAGTTTTTGGCGCTCACTGCTTGAATACAAAGAGAATGCTCTCTTGACCTATAATCAATCAATAACATTCAATTTTAGTAATTTATGATTTGCGATTAGCAATTTGATTTATCGTCACATATGTCTGCCATTTGGAATTACGGGACAAATTCATCAAGCAATACAATAACCATCTGTAAGAGAAGATTATTCTTGAATATACCCCATCGTAAAGCATAGTTTACAGCAAAAACGTATTACAAAAAAGTCATTATTTAAGGATTTAAGGCTTGCATTTTACTCCATTGATCAACTCGTTTCAGGATGAAAGCATCGATGCCTTGTCAGCAGGATGTGAAGGCGGGATTCACGCACAAACCTGTGGGCACTACCTACATGTTGATTGCCAACAATCGTATCTCAAATCACTTCAGGTACTTTTAGTTATCTGTTTACTGCGGTTTTCGGCATATTCTGCCAAATCAGACATTTCAACGGCTTGTTGTGAAATCGGTATTTTTTCTGCCGCCAGTCAAGAACATAGAAGATACCGACTGATTATTTTTGATTGACGGCAGCCAAAAACCAAATGTAAGCATGCAGCTCGTAACTACTGCAGAATATCGAAAATCGCAGTAATTTATTTATTAGTTTCGCTATATATTAATTTGGAAATATAATGACTGAAAAAACTGTGATATATATGACAACGTGACCGCAACAGCGTTAAGCCAATTACTGCGGGTCGTAACAGTTGTAACTGTCCAGTGACGTTACGTAGTAACTTAACATGGCGCGTTTAAATGAGTTGAGTTTGTCCATGTTCAGGTTTAGTTCATCATGGACCACGTGACTGAGGATCTGGATTTCCAGCTGTGCCCAGAAATTTCCCGAAAAGCGTTCAATTTTTGTCGATACCATGAAACAACCTCTGGGCTGATCTAAGTCAGGGCACAGCTAACTCACAGATCAAACCCTGAAACAACCTCTGGGATGATCTAAGTCAGGGCACGGCTAACTCACAGATCAAACACTGAAACAACTTCTGGACTGATTAAAGTCAGGGCATTGCTAACTCACAGATAGAACCCTGAAACAACCTCTGGGCTGATCAAAGTCAGGGCACGGGTAACACACAGATAGAACCCTAAACAACTACCTCTGGGCTGATCTAAGTCAGGGCACGGGCAACACACAGATAGAACCCTGAAACAACCTCTGGGATGATCTAAGTCAGGGTACGGCCAACACACAGATCAAATCAGAATTTAGCTTGTTAGGTTATGCGGAGGGAGGAAAACCGGAGAACCTTGGGAAAAACCCTTGAATCAAGGGAGAGACCTGACAGTCTTTACTCACATGTGATGCTCAGTCCAGGAATCGAACCCGACATCCCACATGTGAGAAGCGAGCGCCACCCTTGATTGAGTTGTTTTTAGTGAAAATTAGCTTAGCTACCTGATACCTAAGACTGCATGAGACAAATGGGTATTCCAGTTCCATATATCCCCTAGCCCGACTTAAAAAATAAAAAAACTCCACACAGCACAGCAAACAAGTTTTTTTATTTCTTTTGAAAATACAAATTACATGAATGACGAAACTGAGTGCGCACGCGTGCTGTGTGCTCTCATAAAGCACGCGCTTCCAACCCATCAGAACGCGAGATTTAATTAAAGCAGTTATTCTATAAGTATGATTTATCACTGCCTTTATACGTTTTGAAATTTAAGAAAAGTTTTCTAATTTGAAAATTAACCTGCAATTCCAAATTCGTTTGTTTTCTTCAATTATTTAATGTTCTAAACTAGGATCTAGAAAGTATTTAGGGTTAGAGATGTAGTTCTTCCGGCACGTTCAAGAAACTTATATCATTCATCGTTACGTTTTTGCTAATTTAATTTTTTTTTTTTTATAAAAAATATCTTCGAGTAAGACCAAGTCCATTTTAAAATCACGGTCTTTGTTGTTCTAGGAGGAAGAGGCCGCCCAACTACACCACACGCAGTCATTTAGCCCAAGGAATGGAGATTTCACTTGTCCATTATGTCGGCAGCTAAGCAACTGTGTTCTACCTGAAATTCCACTTCTAATAATGCCTTCACAAGGCAACCAGGTGAATAGACCCTTTGGCCTTGAGCGAAATGTGATTCTTTCTTGATAAGAGTTTCATAAGGCTAAGTTAGCCATTCCGAGGTTGATGAAAAAACTGGGTCGAGTTGGCATTGTGTGACTGTTTTAGGGGACAATTCCAGTCCCACAATGCACTGCAAATTACACTCGACCCAGGCATTTACTCAACCTCGGCAAAGCTAATACCTTTGTATATGTTTCTCTCTATCTAGTCTTCCTTACTTATTTTTCTTATTTATTCATATTCTATTTCTTTCCTTTAGAAGCACATGGGTCACATTGATTGCCTTCATCTTCAGCGAGAAACATTAAGAAAGTATTTTCAAAATGTAAGTCATTGTGAATTTGTTTTGGTTGCATACTTTAGGGAGATTTACCCTTCAGTTCTTTTCTATTGTTGCCAGTGGTTAAGGGTGCCTACATAGACTTTTTAAGGTCTTGAAACAATATGGATCGCGGGCTGCGGGAACGATTATTAGAATGTAAAATGAGATAAGAATTTGAAAAGTTGTGATAAAATGTTACGCAACTTGGTTGCCGGGGCAAGTAACAGAGCGAATTATGCTTCCACCTCACGCGCAACAAAGTTTCTTTGTTGCAAACTGTAGCCAGAAGTTGTGCTGCGTGGCACAAAGAAAGTTTTTTGCGCGTGCTGTGGTAGTATGAGACACAACTGCTCTCTTACAACGCAACAACGTGATGCGAAGAGTTGCCGATTTTCTTTCCTCTGTTTTTCTTTCCCCATTTTTCTAAATAAAATTCTTTTGATTCCCGAGCACTGATATGATATCATTTGCTTCTTTTGTTGCTTCAGTCTTTTAGAATTGCCCGATTTGGTTGCCTATATTACCCCCATCTTACTGAATAAAATTCTTTGAATCCTACTGTAACAGTTAATGATCGATATTTATTTGTTTTTATGTCGCCGTTGTAGTCCTTTACGAAGCTGACAGCAAGTGCACTCAACTTCAGTGTTCTTGGGGCATCAATCAAGACGGTGGTTGAAATAGCTTCTATGCTCGGCACCAATGGAGAAATTCCTAAATCAGAAAGACCGTTTGAGTTACTGTATAGGACTATAAGGTGCGTGTTTATTTCTAATGATCATCAATAGACCTTTTTGGCTTGAGCGTAATGTTTTCCCATTTCAAGCCACGTGTCATTCCCTAGAGTATCATTTCTTTTTTTAACGGTTGCGCATGAAAAGACACATGAATTTGGATACAACTCAAACAAAGAATCTTATTCTCAAGACCACGTGTCATTTCCTAGAGTATCATTTCTTTTTTTAACGGTTGCGCATGAGAAGACACATGAATATGGATACAACTCATACAAAGAATCAAATTCTCGAGAGAATGACATGGGAAAACATTACGCCCAAACTAAGGAGGTCTATTGTCAGGCATTTTATGTTTGTGCAATCGTTTTTATTTTATTCTATTTTATTTTTTGTTTTGTTTATACATTCGTGACATTCAATTGGCCGTTTGCTTTGTTCACTTGTTCCTTTGGGTTTCGCATAATATAATATCTATGAGTCTTTTTTAACACTTTATTTGTGCGACAGAACAAATCTCGAACTCGAGCAAGTCAACAGAGAAGCAAGAAAACTCTCCACGAGTCGGAAGTCTTGTTTCGGTAAGTCTTTACTAGAATGAAGTAAATTGTCTCTGCGTTCTTTAGATAAAAAGTCCAACCTAATGATTGGCTCTTGGATCTTGCTGTCTATGAATTGCACGTGATGGTCACAATGCAGTGACTTCATGACCATGAGCGCGTGCCTTGACAAGAAAACGTGACAGTGTCGTGACGTGACGCGCCATGACCATGAGTGTGCAGGAAGTTTCTGTGACCGTGACTTGCGTCGTGATGTGCCGTGCCGTGACGTGACGTGACGTGCCGTGCCGTGACGTGCCGTGACTATGACTGTTCAGTGAAATTCCATGACCGTTACACTGCCGTGACCGTGGCAATAGTGTGTGCTATGCGGTTTCATATGAAATCTTCTCTAATAAACAATGTTGTATCCTTTATTCTAGGGTCGCTGATGCGCGCCTTTCACTTCCACTGCCAGACCCTTGTGGAACCTTTAATTCCCGTCTGGTCAGAATTATCAGATATTGACATTCCTCAAGAACATTCAAAGTCAGCCAATAAGTGAGTGTTTAATTGAGACAGACATTATTGTCATTATAGGCATCGTAGCCAGGGCAGGTGATGTTAATGTTAATGGTGATACTAATGATGAGGATGATGATGATTTGTGATAATGATGATGATGGTTAGTGATGGTGATGATGATGGTGATAGTGACTGACATTATCGTCAAGTCTAGGCATCGTAGCCAGGGCAGGTGATGTTGATGTTAATGGTGATACTAATGATGAGGATGATGATGATTTGTGATAATGATGATAATGATGATGATGGTTAGTGATGGTGATGATGATGGTGATAGTGACTGACATTATCGTCAAGTCTAGGCATCGTAGTCAGGGCAGGTGATTTTGATGTTTATGGTGATATTAATGATGAGGATGATGATGATTTGTGATAATGATGATAATGATGATGATGGTTAGTGATGATGATGATGATGGTGATGGTGACTGACATTATCGTCAAGTATAGGCGTCGTAGCCAAGGCAGGTGATGTTGATATTGATGGTGATATTAATGATGATGATGATGATGGTTAGTGATGATGATGATGGTGATGATGTTTATTGATGGTGATGATGATGGTAATGGTGATAGCAACGATGGTGATGATGCTGATAATGATAATAGTCAATGAGGATGAGTATGCTGACAAAGACGATGATGATGGTGAGGGTGATAATGATGATGATGATGGTGATGATAATGATGAGGTTCATGATGATGATGCTGGTGAAGATGATGATGGTTAGTGATGATGATAGTGGTGCTGCTGATAGCTATGCTGGTGACTGAATGGTGGTGATTGAATGATGATGATTTTCCACACAGCAAACCTCCAGCGGTGCCCTTGCTTCTTCGAGATGCTCCTTCTTTACTGATCCAGATGATGTTATCATGGACCTCAGCTCTTTCATTACGTAAGCGAACTATTCAACATTTAAATTCTCAGCCAGAATGTACTGTCGGTCAGTTGTGGACATGGCGCAACCGTTAACGCTTCAAGCGCTGGTCCTTTATCATGCGGCAACCAGCCATGTTTATTTCCACCCGAATAACCTTTTGTATTATGCGCGCGTAAAGGCTCACCCTGCATAAAGCGCTCGAGTGCTAAGCTGCGAGCCGAGAATTTTCATTTATCCAGAAAACATATGCAAAATGTCCACAAAGGGCACGAGTTTTAATCGTAAAAGTCAACCATAAATTGGCGGGGCGCGGAAGGGTATTTCCTCAAGATAAGTATATTCTTCTTTTCAGGTGATTTTCAGTGTCTGGTTCAACTAATCTACAACCTCGTCTTCACTCAAGTAAGGGAGTGTTAAATACATGCATTTATCAATTTGATATTTAGGTTCTTATTTTGATGACACCTTTGATATCTTTGTTTTACGAGAGGCATAGTGTGGGACAGCAATAGTTTTTAAAGAAAAAGGTTTCATTTTCAAAAGGAGAATTTTCTACATGGCTGCAGTAGGAGAGGAGAGGGGAGGAACGCATTAGCAGCTGTTGGTTTCGTTTATCGTTTTATTTTTAGGGACTGGTTCATTCTTGCTGCAAGTTTGTCGGAGATGAACGACTCTCGTGGCAAGAAACTGGCAAGAAGGCGTTAGTCCAAGTAAGTGACCAAAAAAAGTTATGTTCAATCAAGTTTATTTTTGTCTCTGGAGTCTGGACTTTCACGAGTCCCGAGTGCACTAGGGGGGAAAGGGGACTCCAAAACCAGAAGATTTTTAGCTCTTAGTGTCAACCTACCAGTAATGTAAACGATTCCGGCTATAAATATCAGTTTTTCGAAAAAGAAGACTTAACTGACTTTTTGAATGGATCATCATTGGCTTGATTGGCATATCGTTAGACCTAGAGTGACTTCATTTAACCCATTAGATAAAATCTTAGTCAATACAGCGAACCGAAATATGACGACCAATTTGAATGAATATTGTTCTGGGCTTACTAGCGACAAACTTTCCTCGTGTTCACGCGTTAACACAAGCGTTTTCACATGTATGAGAGGCTAATCACTCGCTAGTCACTCGCTAGTCACTCGCTAGTCAGTCGCTAGTCAGTCGCTAGTCGGTCGCTAATCACTCGCTAGTTAGGCGCTAGTTGCAGAATAGTAATTCAAATTGGCCGCCATATTTCGATTCGGTGTATACTCAATAGTAATATAGACAAAAGAAAGCAATAGAATTATTGTTTTGCTATCGTCAATTGACCTTTTCGACGCTAGCCATCACGCAGTAAAAATGGTGTTGCATTGTGTTACGGTCACCAAGAAGTTCGGACATTGCTCTCGGATTTCCTTACCAGTGTACTGACATTTAAACGATTTATTTACTTGGTTTGTTTAGCTAGCTTTCTAAATACGAGCAAAGTATTAATTTTCTAACTGGATTGAAGCTTTTGTTGCCGCTTTTTATGGAGCTAACTTAAAAAATCGATTTGAATTTTCTTTTTAAAGTCAGTGAATTTGTATGAAATCCGAGAACAATGTCCGAACTTCTTGACACGTGACGGCTAATATCCTTTTTACTGGGAAAATAAAACTATTATTTCTGACTTTTTTCTTTAGAAAAATACGCAAAAATCGCTGACCATCGACATGCTGCTTGGATTTGTGACCCAGACACTCTCGTCAAGTAAACTATTCAAAGAAGATAATCTGATGCTTGGGGTGAGACTTGTCAGACTTTCATTTCCATCCATCCATATATCCATCCGTCCGTCCGTCCGTCCCTCCGTCCGTCCGTCCCTCCGTCCGTCCGTCCCTCCGTCCGTCCGTCCCTCCGTCCGTCCGTCTATCCATCCATATATCCATCCCATTCATCCATATATCCATTATTCCATCCATCATTTATTCATTGCTTCCTCCTTTCCTCCCTTCTTCCTTTTAGTAATACATCAAACCAACCGTCCGTCCATCCATCCACATTTCTTCATTCATTATATAATCATTTTTAATGAATTTGTTTCCTTTCCTAGATCTCACAATCAGTATGGTCACCTCACATGGTAGAACAGTCCATCAGGGACTTTTGCTTGCCTTATCTAAAGATCGCTAACTTGATATCCTCGCTTTGCTATGACACCGTGATGCCAAAGGTGGAGGTAACCCTTTTTATTGGAAATATTTCTTTACAGAAATTTTTGAGGAGTTCTCGAGCCTGACTTTCGCTTTAAAGAGAGTTCGGCATCGCATAGCAAAGTCGTTTAGGAATTTCCTCGTGAAAGTCTCTTTGATGCTGCGAAATATTCGGCGTTTGAGGTTTGCGGTACCTAGCAAGAACGTCGTGCTAAAAGTCTCTAATAACTCTGTCTGATATATATCTATTTTGTTTTCACAGACCAGCGACCAAGAGTTCCAGGCTTATGCAGCTTCTCTTCAACTATGCACTGAATCTCCTTCCTCGCGGGATGGCTTCTCGTGTGCTGATTGTTTGAAATGGCCACATGCCAAACCACTAAGTATTATACGTAAATGGTGCGATTCTCTGTCTTCCGTGACAAGACGTTATGATGCATTTGTAAAGGTAAGATGTCAACGTGCTTTGTTATGGTTCTGCGACTTCCGCAACTTTAAAAGCGAGACATCAAATACTTATTATTTTTTTAAATATTAATTATTTTGAATTAACATCTCAGAATATGATCGAAAATGCACAAATTTCATATCAATTCACTGCCTCTGAGGCGCACGTCAAACGTCGAACTTCACATGAGCCGAACTTAATTGAAACAATGGATAACAAGGCGGTCTTCTTCAGTAGGTTCGGCTCATGTGAAGTTCGACGTTTGACATGAGCCTGCAGAGTTAGTAAGTTGTGCACATCCAAGTGCTTTCATTACCTACCTCACTCTCCTTCCTTCATCACCTCTTGCCTACATCGATCTCTCCCTTCCATCTTTTCCTCCCTCCTTCCTTCCCTTCCTTGATGATTGATTTCAACTGCATATCTTTTAACAGAGCCAGGATCTTCTTCCCATCACACATCAGTGGCAATCTCCAAAAATGATCCAACTTCCCGAACGATATGATTTGTAAGTATAAACTGCCACCTGTCCCAAGTACAGTGACGAAATAAAAAACGCCCGCGCGTGCTGTGTGCAGTTATAAAGCACGCGGGGATTCGCAGAACACGGTAGAAGTGTTAGGAAAAATAATATAAATCCGTAATATCTGCTATTTTGACATACTATGTCGCTATAGTGTTTTTATTTATGCAGAAAACAAGAATTGTTGAATTGTTGTCTCGTTTTCAGAGTAATACAACATTATCGTAAACTAAAGTGCACCACATGTGACACCAAACCAGACGACCCCGCGGTGTGTTTGGTCTGCGGTAGGTTTGTTTGCCTACAAGGCATGTGTTGTGTCAGCACAGATGAGGGACGAAAACACGAGTGTGTCAAGGTAAACGGCATTTTATATTATGACATAGTCTATAGAATCTCTATCACAGCTTATCGATTTAATATTTTTTTGCAGCATTCAGCGGAATGTGGTGCAGGTACTGGAGTATTCCTTATCGTATTATCATCTGTAGTTATCATTATACGGGCTGATCGTGTTTGTATGTGGGGATCTGTCTACCTGGACGGCTTTGGGGAAGAGGACCGTGACTTAAGGTATGGGGGGAGATTTCCAGGTTAACATTGGTTATTTGTAAGTTGCTAATGAAATTCAGTACTGAATACCTCCTGACTAAGTGCATGATCACCTGACTGACCGACCAACCGAATGACCGACCGAATGACTGACCAACCGACTGACCTTCCGACTGACTGACCAACTGACTGACCTAACGACTGACTGACCGACCAACCGAATGACCTACCGACTGACTGAACGACCGACTGACCTACCGACTGACTGACCGACCAACCGAATGAACGACCGAAGGACTGACCAACCGACTGACCTACCGACTGACTGACCGACCAACCGAATAACCGACCGAAGGACTGACAAACCGACTGACCTACCGACTGACTGACCGACTGACTGACCGACCGACTGACTGACCGACCGACTGATCTACTAACCGACCGACTGACCTACCGACCAAATGGCCGACTAAATGACCCAGCGACCGAACGACCGACTGAATGACCGATCTAATCACACATCAGACAGACTGAAATTGTAATTTTTTTCCAAGATCGCAATTTATCGTATTTTATCTTTCTCCTTCCAGACGGGGAAAACCCTTGTTCTTAAGCCAAGATCGCTACAATAGACTTCAAGAACAGTGGTTTACACATAGTTTTGACCACACTTGCAAGAGATGGAAAAGACACATGAATGCGCTATAATTGTACATTCAGCAGAAGAAAAACGTCACCGAATGAATCAGCAGTGCCTAGATATAATTGACCAGTGGTCGTTCCCGACAGAACATCAAGGCAGCTTTAATGGGTTATATTCTTTGCCTAACAAAAAGAACCTCGCAAAAAAATATTTTGCGAGGTTCTTCTTGTTCGACATAAAGGCGATGACGTAATATGAGATGACGTAATATATTGATATGGAAGCATTTCAGCTTTATAGTTACACATTTGATACAGCGGTATGGTGACGATGACGTAGTGATGTTAACACTAAAGTGATAAAGAAGTGCGAGGTTCTTCTTGTTCAACATAAAGGCGACGACGCAATATAACATGGTGTAATACATTCATATGGAAGCATTTCAGCTTCATATAGTGACACATTGATACACCGGCATGGTGACGATGACGTAGTGATGTTAACACTAAAGTGATGAAGAAGTTACGAGTAATTTTTTGATAGCTGACTGCAATCCACACTGGAGCTATGACGTCACTGCATTCCAACATGGATGAATGACGTCACTGCATTCCAACATGGAGGAATGACGTCACTGCATTCCAACATGGAAGAATGACGTCGGTGAATTTACTGGATCCCAAAGCATGGAACAACAAGATCGTGTTGGTACCCTCGACTCAAAGGCAGAACTTCAAGGTGCGATATAACCAATTGCATCATGAAAACGATGGCCATACCGTGTGACTCACCAAGAGTTTAAACGAGAACCAAGATCTTTAACGTCAAAATACTTTGCTCTAAAGTAACACTTCGCCTTGAAGGGACTAATGTTAGGGCAAAAAAGTTAATACCCAACAAGAAAAAGTGCTCCATAGATTCTTCACCCTGATATTACTCGTACACGTTTGCTCTTGAGGAGAATTCATAATTTATTAGGGGAAAAAGTAGAGACTTTACTGACAGCTGTACAAAGATACTTAATAAATCAATAACCTTTTCCTGAAATCGCTCGAGTGACCTCGAAACAGTCAAGCTTTAACTTTCAAAAAAGATTTTTACTTTCAAACAATCTACAATTTTACATTTTCGATAATGAGAAGGGGAAAATACATAAGCAATATTAATACATTTAACAAAATTGACTAATTATGATGAATGTTTAACATAATAAAATACAGTAAATGTACCTCGACTTTCAACCATTGGCTCGTGGTCACTCAAGTGAATAGTACTCGGTTCGGGCGTAATGTTTTCCCATTTCAGACCACGCGTCATTCCTTTGAGGATAAGATTCTTTGTTTCAGTTATTTCAATATTCATCAATATTCAACCGAGCGCAAGCGTTAAGCAAATAAATGATACTTTAGGGAATGACACGTGGTCTGAAATGAGAAAACATTACGCCCGAGCCGAGAAAGTCTATTCGGGAAAGGGCTAGAGAGTCTTTGCTTCATCAAGTGATGGCAACCATGACAGGAAGCATAAGAATAGAGTCGTTCTCCCCAGGGAAACTGAATTCTTCCTAATGTAAATTAGATTAAACCAGATTCAATTGTTCGTGCCTCCTGTCATGGCTGCAATCACGTGATGACGCAAGCCTCTATATATGCTAGATTTAAACGCGTAGAATATATGAATTATTTATGGTGGGCGCTGTCCTGATAAAGACCGTACTTCTTTAACAGAAGCTGGACAATTGCATGAACTTTACATAAAAAGACTTGTGATCAAATCATGTGGTGTTTGAACCGGTGCCGGAGAATCGGTGCTATGCCATGTAACCCATGAGAAATATTTTATATTCTTTGCAAAAAAATGTTTAATATAATAAAAAGTCAAATATTTCAAAAAGGAATAGAACTCTCGGCTTGGACGTAATGTTTTTCTATTTCAGACCACCTGTCATTCCCTATAATATCCTTTCTCTTTTTAATGACGCAAGAGTCGAGAAGGTCTATAGCCAGGGCTTATTCATTTCTTTGACCCCCTTTTCTCTGTTTGGGTCCCTTAGAAAATCCTAAACCCCTCACCACGAGGTCACTACTCCTTGATCAATACACAGAAACTTGTGCATGCGCTGGATTTAATCTTGTATGAAGGCTTTGATTCATTCCTGGGAATCAAGTCAGGCTTGGAACAAATGGTTCCTTTGGTCAAATACTGAGGTCGTAGGCAAGGGCGGATCCAGCCAAAAATTTAGGGGGGGCTAATTGAGTTTAGGGGGGGCTAATTGAGTTTCTTCCGTCAACACGACGGAAAACAATATAAAAAAGCATCGTTTTTTCTGCTGAAGGGGGGGCTTCAGCCCCCTTTGCACCTTCCCCCCGCCCCTTCCAGTGGATCCGCACTTGGTAGGGTTGTGAATAACCTATTAGCTAATTATAAAAAAAGGTAAATACGAAAGCCAGATTGATGCCTTAGAACGATTGTGACAAGAGATCTTCTGGGATAACTATTGGACGGAAATCAGAGCGCCTTACAAGTGCCGCATCCAAGGTGGTGCGCTATGATGCTATGTGATGAGGTCATAGTGCAAATTGCGCGCGCTGACCCTATATACGAACCTATGCAGGTGCATGCATTGGTAAATAAGGGAACTAGAATTTAGTGAAGACTGATTCCTTAAAAGATTGTAGAAATATTAATACTGCCTATGCATCAAAATATCAAGAAAACCTTTAACAGTTTAACTATTGATTTTTGAACCCTCGAAGATTTATATCCCAGTGAATTCTAAGCCGGATTAGATTTTGGTAGATTTGTGCTCATGTCATTCCTCTTAGCTTTTATACATCAGTAACAGAAGAGAAAACTGTATGTTATAACGATGTCGTAAGATATCGAGTAACTATGGCGACAGCATTGAATGTAGAGAATTTTCCAGATTGATCCATTTGGGAATATAACAAAACAGTATTTTCCTTTATTCACGAACCAGGAGGATAAATACGTAGTTAAAAACATTATCATACTGTGAAGCTTCGTGATTTTTTGAATTTGTTCGTTGAATTTAGATTTAAAGAAAATTCTAAGATTTAGCCGGTTTGTAAATCGAAAACCAATCATTTATAGAGCATACTTGACCTGGGGGAGAGAATCGTGTCAAAAGATGCTTCATAGGGAGGGGAAGGGGAAACACAAAACACTAGTGCCCAGTCTTCGGGACAGTAACAGCGCCGCCGACCGTTCATGAATGAACCCAAGCTAAGACTATTAGACATTCGAATGAAAAATGTTTATGTTTCTATGGAGCGTTTATTAGTTAATTCAAATTCTTTAAGACCCTAAAGCACGGATACCAACAATGACGTTACATACAATATCAGATCTTCAACATTCCTCGTAAAAAGATGTCTTCTTCGTCTTCTTCATGGCGTCCGAATCCAAACGCCAAACCGTTTCATCCGAATTCAGCATTTTACAGCATTTCAGTTCCATGCAAAAAAGCTCCTTTACGCGTCCAAAAAAGAGGGATATTCGGACGTGTAGTTCAATGGATTCTAGTGGTAGTTCTATGTGTAACTGTAGTTATCAACATAGCATTTATCCTGGATACGACAGCCAAGGCGAGAGAAAACAATTTCAAAATGGAGAAGGACGCGTATGAGGACAAGAACCCACTCGAGAAAACAAGTAAGGGAAAGATAAATATTATAATGCTATGTCATGAATCTGAGTTAAATTCTCTATTTATTCATGTATTTAAGRAATATGTATGTCTAGCTCCAGGAATTAGACATTTGAATTAAATTTATATAACATTTTATGGGTGTATTTTCAATTTGTGATTGTAAAAATTTGATCTGTGTTTTTTCTTTCTAAAAAATAATGCCAGAAAAATGTTTGAAATAATCTGTCTTTACATCTAGGATTTTAGAGTTTTCTTTTTAGATCTTTTTTTTTGATGCGATGGGGAACTTTAGATTCAAGATTTATTATTTAATTATACTTAATAATATTTAATTTGCTATTTGAATCCTTCCAAAGGAACATTTTAGCTCAATGTACGTAGCATAGCTAGGTCGAGAGGCTAAGGGTCAAGTTGTAATATATRAAAAAAGTAACTGACTTTAACTTAATATACAATTGGTATTCTAGTAGGAGTATGAATGTTCCCAAAAGCCTTTTTTTCTTTTTCAAATCTAGTTATATTCCCAAATGTTAAGCTTGGCTGCATAATAATAATAATAATAATAATAATAATAAATATTTCTTATATAGCGCCTCTTCCATAAATGTCCAGTGGCACTTTACAATAAATTCAAAACTAAATTATCCTAAAAAATACTAGACCTAAAA